GGCTTAGGTAGTCCAGGCTGGCCCTCTTAATAAATTAACATCATTCCAGTCTATATCTACACTATGAATATGTGTTGTTGTGTCTTCAAGTCATTTAACCCAACTAAAAAGGGGTAACGTACCTCACATTATGCGCATTGCAATTTTTTATGGACAAATTTACCAGTAAAAATTTTTCAGTTGGGAGAACACTGAAGCCAATTCGTAGCTCAACAGCACATGCCCCTAACCAAGGTTAATCGACATAAACCTATGTTGTGTATATGTTAGTGTATGTAGATTTACCTTCATACGGGCATACAAAATTCAAACTACGTACAGTATTTGCTTATTCTATTGAGAACATTTTCTGTTCTAATAATTTTTGGGTGTGCTGCCCTCTAGAGGCCAGTGATGCTTTTTTATCACTAGTGTGAAAGGGAAACTAAAGCATATACCCGTGTTCTGCACGGTGTTGAATGAGTGGGGAAAGGTGACAATTTACATTGTTGAATGGGGAAGTTATATCCAGCAGTAATAATGATAATAATAATGATATTTATAATGATAATAAAATTTAAATACAGAAGGGCCAATACACCATTTGCATGACAATTATTTAATTTATTGTGGCAATCATCATTAATGTATTATTATTATTCTACATAATGTGACCCACTCTTTCTAGCAAAAACAGGGTTTTGTTTCGAATAAATTACAAATCTTAATCTAGAGATCAAAGGCTAATAATTGATGCAAAAATGTTTAAAAACGGATAACAAGATATGATAATTTGTATTTTTAGTCCAACATGCATGATGGTCAATTGATACATGAGAATTTTTTGCTGATTTGGAGACTTTGACGACAAGTGCCTGGTCACATAGTGAGAGAACTTAACAATCACAAAAACAATGGAAATTACCGTATCCAGTAGACTGTTGACACACATGTCTCAATGGAGCATACTTTCAAATCTAAATGTCTAAAGTATAGACTCAGATTTTCTTTGTAAATTTTTATGCATGAAGACCAATAATTTTTCTTTCTATCATTTTAAAGGTGCTCTCAGAAGAGGACGAGATAGAGTTTGATTCTTGTTTAGGCTCCGATACATTAAACTTTGTTTTACCTGTTAAGAAGATTAATATCAATATTCTTATACATGCCCTTCTTGCTGGACCTCTATGTGGAGTTGGTCTGTCGTATCTGCTACCTTCTACATTAGACAGCTTGTTTAACCATGTTGGTGCAACTGTCGTTTTGTATGTATTCGGTTGGTTTACAATCTGCGTTGCTCAGTTTTCCTTAACAGTAACATCACCGCCAGAACCAGTGATGTTCAGGAGCACAGACCCTTATGAACTTCGACCTCTGATGCGGCCATTTTATGTGTACATTTTCCTTGCATTTCATGTAGTACCCTGGTAAGTATTGATGACATATATTTTTAAATTCATTACGTACAATGTAGAGAAATGATTGAGTTATAACCTTCAGAAAAACAAAATTTATGTTGTGCAGCCCATGAAATTAGGAAAAAATTAGGTCGGCAAAAATTTGCCGACCTTAAATTCTCCGAGGTCGGCAGCCTCGGCAATTTTTTACTACCTAGGCCTATATATAGTATAAACTACAATTTTTCCAAACGCTTGACCTTACATCGTCATCTACAGATTGTGATTTTGTTAATTTCTCTTAAATTAATATATTACTATTGAAAGAATGGTCGTACTTGTATTAATTTAATAGTGTACTATTATAATATTATGTTTTACATTAGAAAATCGCAGAATAAATTTCGTTTTAGCGTTTGTTTTATCGTTATCTTTGGCATGGGAACTTTCGTAAAAGCTACGATCATATCATCACAGCATCACAGGCTGCTTCAAAACTGCCCATGCATGTCCATGCGCATGCCCAGAATGATCTATCAGGGATTTTCCACACATGTACAGTACTAGTCATAGTGTTTAAACGGACAGTAGGATTAGGCCTACAATATGTTGAATTTTGTTGTTTTTAGATAATAAACAACATTTTAAATATGATAATAATATTGTAAAATGAAGACAAATAATTAGATTTAGATAAGCATTACGATCTACGCGTCCCACGTGGCTTCAATTGGGCGATGTTGTAGGCCTTGGCTGGCTAGCACCATTCCTACCTAGGCCTAGCCTATGAAACGACTAGGCGAGATTGAAAGACAAGACGATTGTACACAAATCGTACGTACTACATGCCTATTAGAAATAGTTATTGTACAAACAAATCTGTTTTATGAACCACCAATTTCCTTGGTTTGACGACGTACATGAAATTTAGTGTCTGCTATAGCCTGTTTCAGTAAAAGTTTTTGACTTTCCAAGCAGTTTTTGAAGCGAAGAAATCTAGGCCTAGGTCAGCAAAGAATTGCCATCCTGTAGCAATTCTGGCTCAGCAATATGGTCGGCAATTGCTGATTGCCAACGTGGAATTCGTCGGCTGGTTGTGTTGGTTTTGATAAATTAGAAAAAGAAAATATATTCTTGAAATTAAAACTGCATAAATAATGCAATTGCTATATCCTTTGCTTTGCTTCTTTTTTTTTTTTTTTTTAAACAAACATTTATTTTATCCTTTAAATGAGTGATTCTAAATTTGAGTAAGGTGTTTTTAAAGATTTAACTGCAGATGGTATTTTACATAAAGTTGTTATTACCCAGAACAAATCAAAGCTCTTCGGAATCTTTTACACATAAAGTTGTCATGGGTACACAATACACATGAAGTTGTAATGGATACACATAAAGTTGTCATGGGTACACATAGTAATATCTCTTTCCTATTTTTACCCTCAACTAAAGATCAGAGCTTTTCGGAATCTAT